CTGAATTCCCGTCAGGCTGAACAAAGACCCGCTCCCGTGTCAGGAGCTCTTGTGTTTTCTTGTCCCCGACACTTCCAGGAGCTCCCCCCGCATTCCCAAACTCCTGCCAGGCACTGGCTCACCAGGCCCAGCAGAGCCCCCCAATCCCCTCCGTGCCCCCCAGAGCTCGGTGTGGGCTGGGATAGAACAGGAGAGCCGGGGGACCCCTGGGACCCCGAAACGGGGAACACGTAGAGGGGGAACCCCAAAGTGTAGAGACCAGAGAGGGGGAATTTCTGGGAGGATTATTTTGGGCTGAGTCTTGGGAGTGCTGGGGAAAGGGGTTCCCGGGGATCCCAGGGCCAAGGAAAGCGGGGTACAGAGATTGGAGAGGTGGGATGGAGGGTCAAGGGGGACCCTGGGCCCAGGAAAGGGGGATCCAGAGGTCCTCTATGTCGGGGAGAGGGGAGTCACCAGGTAGGGAGATGCAGACTGGCAGGAAAGGGGGTTCAGGGAGTTCCTCAGTGCTCAAACCACGGGAGTCTGGTGTTTCAGAAAGGCAGGAATGGGAGTCCAGGGGGTCCCAGGGTCAAGGAAAAGGGGAGCCTGGGGGCTGGAAAAGGCAGGATGGCTGGGAAAGGGGGTGCAGGGGGTTATTGGTGCAGGATTAGGGGGTGCAGCGGGTTCCTGTGGCCAGGAATGGGGGCTCAAGGGGGGTCCCATAATCAAGGAGAAAGGGGGAATGTAGGGATTAGCACTAGACCGGGTCTAGAGGGTCCCTGTGCCCAGGAAAGGGAGGTCCAGGGGCCTTCAGTGTCAGGGAAAAGTGGTTCATTGGGTGGGGAGACCCAGGATGTCCCAGAAGGGGGTTCAGGGGATCCTGGGTGTTGAGGAAAGGAGGGGTTGGGGACTGGGAGAGGCAGGAATGGGGGTCCAGGGGGTGTCAGGGTCAAGGAAAAGGGAGGGTCTGAGGTCTTGGAGAGGTGGGATGGTCAGGAAAGAGGGTGCAGGGGGGTCCTGATTCACAGCAGTGGGGCTCCAGGGGGTCCCAGGTTCAAGGAAAAGGGAGTGTGGGAGAGGTGAGGAGGGTGCAGGGGGTACCGGTCCCAGATAAGGGGCTGCAGGGGGGGTGTGGCTCAGTGCACAGGAATGGGGGGTTCAGGGAGTCCCTGAGACACCCCAGGACCCCCCTGCAGGAAGCACTGGGAGTGGGGAACTGGGGAGACACGGAGATTTGGGTGTTGGGGTGGTCCCAAGGTCAAGGAAAGGGGGGAACTGGGGGAGCTGAGGGAGCCGGGAAGGGGCTGCAGGGGGTGCTGGGGTGAAGGAAAGGGGGGCTGGGGGCGAGGTGACCTGGGATGGCCGGGAATGGGAGTGAAGGAAAAGGGAGATCCAAGTGCTGGGAGAGGTGAGATGACTGGGAAAGGGGAGGCAGGGGGGTCCTGGAATCAAAGAAAGGGGGTTCTGGGGGCTGGAAAACTGGGAATGGCTGGGAAGGGGGTTCCAGTGCCTGAGAAAAGAGGGTGCAAGGAGGTCCCAATAATAGTAGGGAAGAGAAGGAGGAAACAATGGGCTGAGGCTCCAAGGTGCCGATTTCCTGTGATGGGAAGGCAGGGAGAGGGCAGGGAAGTGCCCCCAGGGAAAGGGATCCCAGAGCGGATCTGCTGATCAGGGCCAGAGTGGGAACTGGGAACAAGGATTTTGGGAATGCAAGAGCAGCAGGAGGGGGGTTGCCCTCTCCCTCCTCCCCATCCTGTGCTTCCCAATGCCCAGTCACTCCCAGTATGAGCCCTGTCACCTCCAGTATAAGCCCAGTTGCTCCCACTATATCCCACTTGCCCACAACATGGTCCCAATTGGCCCCAGTGTAGTGCCAGTAACTCCCAGTATGAGTCCAGTATGATCCCAGTCTCCCTCAGCAGGGTGCCAGACACTTCCAGTTGCCTCCAGGGTAGATCCAGTCACTACCAGTTGATCCCAGTTGCTGCCAGTGTAGTCCACTCACCACCAATATGGTTACAGAGACTCCCAGTATGATTCCAGCTGCCCTGACTGTGGTCCCAATCCCCCCAGCATGGTTCCAGTATCTTCCAGTTGATCCCAGTTTGCTCCTAGCATGGGCCAAGAAGCTTCCAGTAACCCCCAGTAAGGTTCCGTTCACACCCACTGTAATCCCAGTTGCTCCAAGTATGGTCCCAGTCAGCTCCAGTATGACCTCAGTCACCTCCTGCCATTCCCAGTATGAACCCAGTATCATGCCAGTTCCTTCCAGTCACTCCCAGTATGATCCCAGTTCCCTCCAGCATGGTTCCACTTGCTCCCACTATGAAACAAGTCACTTCCAGTATGATGCCATTTACTCCCAGCATGGTTCCAATTGCTCCCCCTCACCCCCAGTATGATGCCAGTCACTCCCAGATACTCCCAGTATTATTCCAGTCACTGGTTCCCGTCGCCCCCAGTATATCCCAGTCTCCCCCAGCATGCTCCCAGTCACTGCCAGTTCCTCCCAGTTACTTCCAGCATGATCCCAGTTGCTCACAGCCACTCCCAGTCACCCTCAGTGTGGTGCCAGTCACTCCCAGTTTGACCCAGTCACCAGCATTGTTTCAGTTGCTCCCAGTATATCCCAGTTGTCCCCAGCATGCTCTTTGTCTCTGCCAGTATGATCCCAGTCACTCTCAGTATGATCCCAGTTGCCCCCAGCATGGTCCCAGTTGCTTCCTGTTCCTCCCAGTGTGGTCCCAGTTGCACCCAGTTGCCCCTAGCATAGTCCCAGTCACTGCCAGTATGATTCCAGTGTCTTCCAGCAGGTTCCCAGTCACACCCAGTTGTCCCCAGTATAGACTCAGTCACTGCCTCTTGCTCCCAGTTGCCCCCAGCATGGTCCCAGTTGCTCCTAATTTGATCCCAGTCATTCCCAGTATGGTTACAGACAATCCGAGGATGGCCCAGTTGCCTGCAGCATGAACCCAGTCCTTCCCAGTTGCTTCCAGCATGATCCCAGTTTCTCTCAGTTGCTCCCAGTAGCCCGAAGTGTGGCTCCAGTGCCCCCAGCATGGTTCCAACATGGTCCCAATTGCTCCCAGCATGCTCCTTGTCACTCCCAGTGTGATCCCAGTCCCACTCACTGTGATCCCAGTCTCCCCAGGATGGGCCCAGATGCTCACAGTGTGATCCCAGTATGATCCCAGCTGCTCCCAGCATGGTTCCAGTGTCTCCCTGTTCCTTCCACTGTGACCCCAGTTGCACCCGGGTGCTCCTAGTAGAGTCCCAAGCAGTCCCAGTATGACCCCAGTCTCTCCCAGCATAGTCCCAGTTGCCCCCAGTGTGGTCCCAGTCACCCCCAGTATGGTCACAGACACTCCCTGTATGATCCCAGTGTAGCCCAGTCGCTCCCAGTATGAGCCCAAAGCTCCTGGAACACCTGGAGGACCCAGAGGAGGGTCCCTCCAGGTTCTGCGGCTGCAGAAGAGCCCCCAGGAGCCGAGGTCCCCCCAGAGCCCCCCAGGCAGGGGAAGGTGGTGACAACTCTCCAGCCCGAGGTCCCGGGAGCAACGGGGGGTCTCCAGCCCGACCCCCCAGCAAGGGGCTCCCACAACCCCTCACGCTGCCCCCAAAATCCCTCGGGATTCCCCATCATCCATCTCTGCATTCCCCCATCCAAGATCTCCAGGCTCCTGAGATGAGCCCAAAGGGGTGGAAGTGCCCACCCAGTGGGGGAACAACCCCCAAATTTTTATCTCCAGCCACCCCTTTTCCCTCTTTTCCTGTTCTTTTGCCCTTCCTGGGATCCCCCCAGGGGGTGGAAGCAGCCAAGAGCCCAGCACTGCCCCATCCCGACCTGCCCCAGCTCCATCCCTGCTCCTCCCACGGGATGTGATGGGTTTGGGGGGAAGGTGGGGCCAAAGGTGGGTGCTGATCCTGCAGGGAGGAGGAGAAGGGATGGAAGAGGAGGAGGGGAAGGAAGAGCACCCTCAGAGTGGGGAGAGCAGAGAGGAGTGATACTAGAACTGGGGGACCCCCCAAACCCTGAAACAGGGGCCTGGAGAGGGGGTACCCTTGGGACCCCTGAAACACTGAAGTGGGAGCCCAGAGAGGGGGGAGCCCTTGGACCCCTGGCAGTGCAGACAAGGGGGACCCTGGAGAAAGGGGAGCCTGAAGGAGGGGGACCCTTGGCAGCCTGGAGAGGGGGTAGTCTGGAGAGCGGGGAGTCTCGGGACCCTGAAGAGCCCAGAGAGGGGAACCCGTGGAAAAGGGGGAGCCCTGGGACCCCCATCAGCCTGGTGAGGGGGGGAACCCAGAGAGGGGGAAGCCCTGGGTACCCAGAACCCTAGAGCAGAGTAAGGGGAGAAGGGACCCCTGTGACCCTCACAACCCCTGGTTTCCCTAAGTGGGGGGACCCTGAAGAGGGATGTCCCCCAGAACTCTGAAGTTGGGAGATGGGGGACCCTTGGATTCCTGGGGTCCCCAGCAGCCTGGAGAGGGCAGGGACCCCGCAGAGGGGATACCCCAAATACACACAGGACTCCCAGCAGCCCAAACAGGGGGGACCTCCAGAATCCCAAAGTGCAGAGACCAGAGAGGAGGAGCTCCTGGGAGGGCTTTTTTGGGCTGAATCTTGGTGTTTTGGAGGTTTTCCTGGTCAGAAGCTGCCCGGTGACATCTAGAGACAGATTTCGGCAGGAGGAACCCTGAAGCTCTCACACCTTGTTTTTCCCCCAAACCAGGATTTCTCCTTCCCTAACCTTGGCCAGATGGAGGAGGAGGCTGTGAGGAAGAAGAAGATGCCCTGGGACCCCCAGGCAGGTGAGGAGGAAGTCAGTGCTCCTTTTCCCCATTGTTGTTGTACATCTCCCAGCCGAGCATCGCCCCCGGCTGCAGGACAACCCCGCTGCTGCCGCCGTCCTGCCGGGGCCGGAGTTGGGGGGATGTCCTTGGCCTTCCCTGTGGGCCGGAGGCAAATCCCCTCCCTGTCCTTCTTGCTTCCTGCCCCAGGCCCCGAGCTGAGGACGGAGAGCCCGGAGGACAAATCCCCCCGGCAGAGCCTGGTGGGAGAGGCCGTTTTGAAGGGCTCCATGGCGCAGGAAGGCAGTGGGGAGGAAAAGGCCCAGAGATCCCCCCGCAGGAGGGGCTCCAAAGCCAGCCCAGGGTGCTCTGAGGAGGAAAGAGCCAGCCTGTGCCGGGAAGGCAGCTGGAGCTTGAGGCAGAGCTCTGACCTGGTGGTCCCTGAGCAGCCTCCCACCAGACAGAAGCCCTACAAGTGCTTGGAATGTGGGAAGAGCTTCATCAGCAGCTCCATCCTCCTCACCCACCAGCATGTCCACACTGGGGAACGGCCCTACACGTGTGGGGAATGTGGAAAGAGCTTCAGCCAGAGCTCCCACCTGAGCCGCCACCAGAAGATCCACACTGGGGAACAGCCCTACGAGTGTGGAAAACGTGGGAAGAGCTTCTGCGACATCTCCAGGCTCCGCACCCACCGCCGCATCCACAGCGGGGAACGGCCCTACACATGTGACAAATGTGGAAAGAGCTTCAGGCGGAGCTACCACCTGAACTGCCACCAGCAGACCCACGTCAGGGAACAGCCCTACAAGTGCTTGGAATGTGGGAAGAGCTTCAGCTACAGGTCCGGTCTGATCTGCCATCAGACCATGCACACCGGGGAACGGCCCTACGAGTGTTCTCAATGTGGGAAGAGGTTTCGGACCAGCTCCCATGTCCTTATGCATGAGCAGACACACACGGGGGAGAGGCCCTTCCGCTGCACCGACTGCGGGAAGAGCTTCAAACGCAACTCCCACCTCGTCACCCACCGGCGCATCCACACCGGGGAGAGGCCCTACAAGTGTGGGGAGTGTGGGAAGGGCTTCACCATGAACTCTAGCTTGACCTCCCACCAACGGATCCATCGGTGAGGGAAGCCCCACGAGTGCCCTGACTGTGGGAAGAGCTTCATCTGCTGCTCCAACTCCATCAGCCATCGGAGGACCCCCGTTGGATGATCCACAGGGACCCACTTTGGGCCCAGACCTGGTGACCCACGTTCCAGGTGATCCATGCTGGGCAGTGTATTGGGTTTGCCAGGTTTTGGTAGCAGGGGTGGCTTCTGTGAGCAGCTGCCAGAAGCTTCCCCCATGTCCAGCAGAGCCAATTCCAGCTGGCTCCAGGACAGACCTACTGCTGGCCAAAGCCGAGCTCATCAGAGAAGGCAGTGATGCCTCAGGGAGAACATATTGAAGGAGGAAAAAGTCCTTGTGCAGATGGAATTGGGTGCAGAGAAGAGCAGAGTAGGAACAGGGGAGAGGAACAGCTCTGCAGACCCCCAGGGCAGTGCAGAAGGAGGGGCAGGAGGTGCTCCAGGCCTGGAGCTGAGATTCCCCTGCAGCCCAAGGAGGAGCCCACACCGGAGCAGGGGATGCCCGAAAAGAAGGATGTGAGCCCGTGGGAAGCCTGTGCTGGAGCAGAGTCCCTGCAGCTGCTGCAGCCCTGGAGAGCTCCAAGGGTCTCGCTCAGTACCACTGGTTATGGGGCCTCCACAGAAGGGGCTTGAGGCACAAGAATTGTCCCTCCTGGCCCCAGTTCAGGTCTGTGACTCTATCCTGGCACTTTGCCGGGATGTTCCTGTGCTCCTCAAATAAAAACATGTGACTGCCTAAAATGATGCTCAGACAGCAAGTTGGCAGGCAAGGAACAACAAACACTTTATTTTCAGCAGGCTTAGTTTTATGATCTTTTTCTCCTGTCTGTGGAGGAGAAGAAGTCAGATTGGGAAAGATACCAAGCTTGGAAAGAGATCTACGGAGCTTAAATGGACTGACATTCTACTGGACTGACTTGTTATCCCCCAGTTTATACTGTGTTTTATGTGCAGAGTCGCACGGGTCAGCGCACCAGAGAGGTGAGCAGCTGGGGACATACCTCATCCCACCCCAACACCCACACTCACAAAAAACAAAAAAGGGAGGATTAATACCAACAAGGACTGTCGCAGAGATCCGCATAACATCAAGATGGGACTCTCGCTGTCCGCCTCCCAGAAATTTATTTATAGGCGCCTTAAAGACTTTATTATTGACCACGGTCACCCCCTGGATAAAAAATCTGCGAAAGCGCTCGCCAAGTGGCTGAACCGTAGAGGTCATAAGCTTGCAAATGACACCTCTGTACATGAGTGGCAAGCTATCGGTTACAGCCTGTGGCGAGATGATGACAGGGGGGACCGGACAGCGAGGGAGGCACTGATAGCTTGGAGGTTTGTTCTGATGGTGCTACAGCACCAAATGATGAGCACGAATAGCAGCCTCCCAGAGACATCTACCAGACCGAAATTGACACAAGATGGCGGGAGGGGAAGAAAGACATCACGGCGTGCGCAAAATGGCGTCGGGAAGGAGGGAGGCAGAAAACACGCAGAGCGAAGGCGGGAAAAGTCGCCGTGGGAGCCACCAGTGCGGGAAAGGAGGGGGTGGGGCCCTTCGGTACCACCCTCCAGACCGCCTCCGTCCCCACCTGCGCGTGTCAGGGACCCCTCCCCCGACACGCCCACATGCACGCCCTCTCCCTCCAGCTCCGCCTCGTCACCTGAGAGACCTCCCTCTAGAGATGGATGGGTAGCGGGGGGCGGGGCCAGGGCAAAGGTCAAGTCCGGTTTCCGTGGCACCTGTCCACACACAAATATACCATAACCCACTGGTTATGTGTTCTTGTCCATGCGTCCAAGCTCATCCTCTAATAGGCGGTCAGCGTTTTCCCACAATTCCCCCTTTTTGTTTTTAAACTAAAAAACAAAGGCTTGGGAGAAATTTTGACCAATCACTCATTGAACACAAGACATCAAACAGGGGACACATAATAAAATGCACGAAACTCCAAATAATGTCACAATGACTATTTTCCTAAATGTAACACTAACATTAAAATATTAACCAATCAAGAAAGACTATCAAACATTTGTTAGATATAGAGAAATAAACAAGGAACAATGTAAAAAGAAAAAAATTCTAAATAATGTTAAATTAAATAACTATGGATTAATATAAAACATGTTTAGTTAGCTTAAACAAACTACTTAATTTATTCCCATTATTCTCTATCAGAAATTAACCTTATTTAACTTATTGTTTCAACACTTTACCAGAACCAACCCATAAACAAATGGCTTTGAACCAAACTTAACAACTTGTTGACCTCAGGGTTTGTGCTCCTTAACTTTTGCTTAAACGTGTTTCTAATATAGGGTTTGTTCTTGAGAGCTTTTATTCAATCTAAAAACACTTCTCTAAATGGAACTCCATTCAATGTAGGGTTATGTGTCTTCTGGTTTTTATTTAAGGGTGTTCGTGCCGCCGCGCCTGAGCGCTGGGCAGCCGGCTGCGGCCAGAACCCAGGTGAGCGCTGGGGCCGCGGGGCTGAGGACGTGACGCCGTCGGGCCCGGCTCGGGTTCGTGCTGCTCTGGAGGCCGGGGCTGAGGAGAGGGCGGTGGGAGAGCGCAGGGGCCCCTCCCCGGGGACACGGGGACAGTGCTCCCCGCGGGAGTTGTAGCACTTCTCCGGGGCTGCTCCGTTCCTGTTTTTTCCTGCACTGCTGCCGCCAGGCCGCCCTCCCGCCGGCTCCTGGGCACTCCCGTCCTACCCACGTGGCTGAAAAGTCTCGTATTAGCGGCGAAGGGGGGAGCCCTTCTCCCTTCACTGCCTCCGGGGGTGAATTGCTGGGTTTTTCTTCATTTTCCGGCTTGAAGAGTGGTGACTTTTTAGAAGCGTGGTCTTTTAAAGTTTCAAAGACAGTTCACCATGGTTTCAGGATGCTGGCAGCATGCTTAAGAGACTCAGTGGCTGCATCAAAAAGCACCTTCCCAGCAGTCCCCCAAATGTCTGTGCAAAATGCAGTCTGAGCATCGCCCCCATTTTGTTTGCACTAACTATGCAAGGTGCTGAGCGCACGTTCCTCATATCTCATACCGAGCTTCTCTCGCATCTCTGTTAGCACTATGACAACAGATTCCTCCTCCACGGATATCTGCACTCCCATTATTTATGTTCCCAATGGCTCGCCTTCTCTCCAGGTGTAAGTAATTAGGTCCAGACTCCGGCTCTCAGGTCCACCGGCTGTTGCTGTGTTGAGCTCTGTCGCACCGCTCGCTCTCCGCGGTCATTACTGCAATAAAACACGTCGGGGTTCACTAATTGCAACGGCCTAAAATGATGCTCAGACAGCAAGCTGGCAGGCAAGGAACAACGAACACTTTATTTTCAGCAGGGTTAGTTTTATAGTCTTTTTCTCCTGTCCACACACAAATATACCATAACCCACTGGTTATGTGTTCTTGTCCACGCGTCCAAGCTCATCCTCTAATAGGTGGTGTATCGGGACGAAGTTGGAATGTTATTATTTTTGGTCTGTGTTTGGCCCTAGCCACCTGCAGAAGTTTACGTTTTTCTCCTGCCAAGTGCTCTGATAAAGCAGTGAACTTGGCCTTGGAGGAAGAACTTCTGTGTAAACTGTTTTAATTGGTCTGTTGTGATTGGTCAATTGCTTGTCAAGGGCAGTTGGAGGACAAAGTGATGAGGAGGGGAGGAAGGCTCGCCCCCAGACTCAATTAAGAAAGACCCCCAAAACACACTGCGCCTGCGTGAGGGGATTTCCAAAGTCCTCACGCGTGCGCAGAAGAGCTGCACTCACATAACCGGGAGGTGGGACTGAGGGCCTCTGGCTGGGTGGTGCTGGCCACACCTGGGAGGTTGTGGCCACTCAGTTAATTGTATAAAAGTAGATAGTGCTTGCTTGGAGTGCAGCTAACTTCACATCAAGGACAACGTTGCCTTTCGACGGGGACACCTGCCAGTTTGTGAACTTACTGACTCTCCAAGGATGCCGCTTCTGCTATGGGTAATTATAGGCATGCTAGGTCGGTAAGATAACCTTATGGGCAACAGCTGGGTAACCGGGGCTTATTTCTCTCCTCCTTCCTCCCTTTTGGGTTTGTTCGTTTTGTTGGCCACCCTCTTGGTAATAAATCTTGGTTTTTGTTAAGCTTTCAACGGTGTCATGGTTTCAAGCTTCAGTATATCTTCGAACCTTCCCCCTCCTCCCTAATACAGGTGGTCAGCATCCCTTTGTGTGCTGGCACATCTCAAAATAACACCTGCTATTTACTGCAGTTCTTTCTTCTTTTCAGCTTTCTCATCCTTGATTGTTTACATTCTTTTACAGCCTCACAGCTGTAACTGCTCAGATTCAAGGCCTAAGCTGTCTACAGCTCACTCGTTTTCCCACAAAAACACACAAAGCTGATAATCCCCCCAAGGCCCCCAGCAGTCACAGCTCTTCTCAGCAAATCAAAACTGGCCCCATAGGAGTGATTTGTGGAATATTTATAAGAAAAAAAATCCAAAAACCAGAACAAGGCTCGACTGACACAGACTAGGAATACCTGTGGACTCTGCTGTTGAGTCACTGGCAACTGCAAAGTGTTTTTATAATTACTATATAAACCCTCCACAGCAATGCCCAGCAGGTGTTCTTGGCATCACCACTGTAAATAAAATTATTAGCAGGCTGGTGGTTCCCCAGGTAAATATTTTCCAGGTGAGAACCCCCTGCCTGTGTTTGCAAAGGCAAGACCCAAAAGGATGTTTTTCCTGTCCAAATGCTTGAATTTTTAATAAGGTTTAATTGATGCAGCATTTTGTTCCTGTCCCCAACCCCCAAATTCCTCCTGCTCCAGGCTGCAGCTTGGGGTGTTTTGGGGTGAAAAACAGGTGGAGGAAAAAGGAAGGGGTGGGAACAGGGGGTGGAGGCACAGAAATCTCCCACATCCCCCTCCCGGCTCTCCCGTCCCCCTCCCCATCTCTCCCATCCCCCATCCGGGCTCCCACATCCCATCAGGGCCCCGAGGTCAGGGACAGTGGGGGGGGG